GTAGTGATACTGCCTCGGAAACCCAAGGAGGGGTCGCTATGAGTCAGGGCTGACTCGACGGCACATAACAACAACAACAACAACAGTCACGTAACTACTACTACCACCTCATGAATTGTTTTATTTAACAAATAATTACCCTTCCTATTCCTAGTTTATCCTTTGTTTAAATCTGGAATTTAATATGCCAAGGGTGCTTAAAAACATAATTATAGTAATACATTGCTAAACTCACTGCCATCGAGTTGGATCTGACTCGTAGTGACCCCTCCTTGGGTTTCCGAGGCAGTATCACTACAGAAGTAGATTGCCCAGTCATCCTTCCGAGAAGTGGCTGGTGGGTTTGAACTACCAGCCTTCTGGTTAACAGTCAGATGCCTTATGCACTACGCCACTAAGCATCCACAATATGTTCTGCGAAATAGGATATTTTGTGATTTTGATGTTGTCCTAATACCATGTTATATACAAGCAGTATCTGGATTATGAGCAAGTTCCATTCCTAAGTCTGTCTTTAAGTCGAATTTATATGGAAATTGGAACAGTTAGGTGTATGGTTTGTATCTTACATCAGTTAGTCATATGTTTGTCTCAGTAATATAGTGTACCTTTAGATGCATAAAAACATTAAAGAAACACTTCCAGATATGCTAAAAACATTTAATATAATAATACAGTGATAATAATAATATTTTAATGGGTGTAGCAAATAGCAGCCATTTGTTATTATGAGCCATTATATTGTATCTCAGATTTTTAATATAATAGGCGTTAATGGGAGTTTGGACCATGGACATTATGCATGAATCAATCATGCCTGAACAGACATTATGCAGAGCATGATTATAGTTTATAATTTAAAGCAGTAGTAATAAATTATCATTGCTTATCCTGTAAAGCAGTTACATCATTATTTTCTAAAATGAATGTAGTAGAATTTCAGAATGGTTTATGGAATTTGTTTTCTATTAAAGGCCTAGAATATCCTGCAGTGGTAGAATTTGCTCCATTCCAAAAGATATCCAAAAAGAAGCTAAAGAAAAAGGATGCCAAAACTGGAAGCATTGAGGATGGTAAACTCTTTCTTAAGACTGGATTATGAAACTGCTAAATTAAATATACTGATTAGAGTTCTTCTACCATATATGTAGAAAAATATTTTTCTTGCCTTCTTGTTTCAATTTGCAGATCCAGAATATAAGAAATTTTTAGAAACTTACTGTATGGAGGAAGAGAAAACTAGTGCCAATCCTGAAACTCTTCTGGGAGAGATAGAGGCAAAGACAAGAGAAGTCTTTGGTCTGTTTTGCTCATTTCTACTTTCTACTTTATTGAGAAATGTATTTTTAGAGTATGTACTTTTTTCTTCTTTTTCTTCATTATTATAAAAAAGTGAAACTTCTAAGAGTATTGGCAGAAATGTTTTTTCTAGTTTGACTAAAAGGATGGCAAGATGATAACTTGAGAAAATATGCTTGAGCATTTGTTGATAGACAGAACCTGAATTTTTAGTTAACAACAATTTTGTTTTAAAGTTATATAATGCTTCCAAATAAGCTATGGATAACTAACTTACTGCCATTGAGTCGATTCTAACTCATAGCGACCCCCATTGGGTTTCTGAGGCTGTAAATCTTTATGGAAGTAGATCACTCCATCTTCCTTCTGCTGAGGTGCTGGGTGTGGTGGTTATGTTGTGTGTCAACTTGACTGGGCCTGGTTGAGTGGCTGTGCAGCTGTTGGTAGTTATTCCCCATGATGAGACTGGCAATCAACTCCATGGTGGGATCTACCACAAGTAGCTGAGCAGCTGCCTTTGGGATGTGGTCTGCTTCCTGTATGTAAGCAAAAGCCTTGGGGAATGGTCTCTAGCCTGTGGCATGCTTAGACCCTACATGTAGCTGTGTTGTTGCTCAGCAGCCTGCTATGCTCTGCCAGCCTTGGGACTTACAATGTACTTGAGTTAATGGCCTGCCATGTGGTTTGGTAACATTGGGTCTGTGTCTTTTTACTTGTCAACCTTGGGCTTGGCAGCCTCAGCAGCCAGCAGCTGTCTGAGTGAAGAAAAGCCTTTAGCTTCAGTGGGCTGGGAGATGGAGGCAGAGCTAAAGCCCAAGGTTGAGGGGCTTTCACCGAGCCCCTAGAGCCTGGCACTTTGAACTTGGACTTAAAGTCTCCAGACTGTAAGAATAAACTCCTGTTTGTTAAGGCCATCCCATTTGTGGTGTATTCTTGTCAGAGTGGCACTAGGTAACCAGAACACTGGATTTGAACCGCTGACTTTCTGGGTAACAGCCAAGTCCCTTATCCACTATGCCACATAGGGTGCTCCAAGCCATTGAATGCTCTGTGCCTGGCTGTGTTAGGGCAGGAGCACCATGTTCACAAAGTCAAAGTCAGTCACAGATGGACATCTCAGGGGCCCTAGAAATGAAACACTTTGCTTAAGTATGAAGTAATCTTACTGCTGTTTAAAAATGTATCAGGCCCCCTGAGTAAGGCAAACTAGTTAATAAGCTATGCTGGACCACAGAATCTGGTTTAAATCCTGACTTTTGACCCTGTACCCACAGTTGATATTTTTAGAAATGGTTGTTTTCTAGGTTTTTTTTCCAGTTGCCTTTGAGTTGACTGGCTCCTGGTGGCCCCATGTGTTCTGTCTCCTTAGTGCCACTCTGACAAGAGCATACCACAAGTGGAATGGCCTTAACAAACAGGAGTTTATTCTCTTACAATATGGAGGCTTTAAGTCCAAGTTCAAAGTGCCAGGCTTTATGGGCTGTATGAAACCCCCTTGACCTTGGGCTTCAGCACTTCCTCTTGCTTCCAGCCCACTGATGCTAGAGGCACCTCTTCACTCAGGCAGCTATTGGCTGCTGAGGCTAACAAGCCCAAGGTCGACAAATAAAATGGCACAGTCCTAATGTTACCAAACCACACAGCTGACCATTAATTCAAGTCCATTGTAAGTCCCCAGGTTGGCAGAGCATGGCAGGCTGCTGAACAACAACATAGCTACATGTAGGGTTCAAGCATGCCATAAGCTAAAGACTGTCCCCAAGGGTTCTTCTTATATACAGGAAGCAGACCACATACCCAAAGCAGCTACTCACCTGCTTGTGGTAGATTCCACCATGGAGTTGATTGCCAGTCTTGTCACGGGAAATAACTACCACCAGCTGCACAGCCACTCAACCAGGCCCAGCCAAGTTGACATACAAATTTAACTACCATAATTCTACCTCTTGTCAACTTGGCACCTGTACAGATCTTCATTGGGTGGCATATATACAGATCTCTCTCACTAGGCGGCTCCAGTCTAGTTCCTCTAAATGGCAACCTCACCCCTTTGGCCTGGTGGGCCCCATTCTTCTCCCTCTTGGGCATGGCAGCCCTGCCCCCACACTCTTGGGCAACAGCTATGGCTCCATCCCACTGGCTCACAGGAACAAGCAGCCCTGAGTTGGTGAAGGTCTAACTCTTTGAAACCTAAGGGATTATGATGGTTCCCTGACTGGGAAATGGCATTAATCAGCAGAAGCGGAGAGACCAAGGAAATGGGAAGCAGAGCTGCCTCAACCTTAAGGGTAGGGCTTTGAGGGTGGAATCACCACAGCCCTCTAGGTTTCAAAGAGCCAGACTGTCACCAACTTGGTTCTGGAGTGTGGGGCTGCTTGTTCTTGTGAGCCAGTGGGATGGAGCCATAGCTGCTGCCCAAAAGTGAGGGGGCAGGGCTGCCATGCCCAAGAGGGAGAGAAACGGGCCTGCCAAACCAAGGGGGTGAGGTCACCACTCAAGAACTAGGGTACTGGAGTCACCCAGTGAAGAAGACCTGTACAGATACTACCCATTGAAGATCTGTACAGGTGCCAAGTTGACAAGGGGTGGAATTGTGGTGGTTATGTTTGTGTGTCAACTTGGCTGGGCCTGGTTGAGTGGCTAGGCAGCTGGTGGTAGTTATTCCCCATGATGAGATTGGCAATCAACTCCATGGTGGGATCTACTACAAGCAGCTGAGTAGCTGCTTTGGGTATGTGGTCTGCTTCCCATACATAAGAAGCAGCTTTGGGAATGGTCTCTAGCTTATGGCACCTTGAACCCTGCATGTAGTCGTGTTGTTGTTCAGCAGCCTGCCATGCTCTGCTGACCTTGGGACTTACAATGGACTTAAGTTAATGGCCTGCCATGTGGTTTGGTAACATCGGAACTGTGCCTTTTTACTTGTCAACCTTGGTTTATGTCAGTCTCAGCAGCCAGCAGCTGTCTGAGTGAAGAAAAGCCTCTAGCTCCAGTGGGCCGGGAGCAGGAGGCAGAGCTGAACTCCAAGGTTGAGGGGCTTTCACCTAGCCCCTAGAGCCTTGCACTTTGAACTTGGACTTAAAGCCTCCAAATTTTAAGAATAAACTCTTGGTTGTTAAGGCAGCTGCTTATGCACAGGGAGATAGCTCAGGGGGCAGGAGTGCATGGAGGGATGAACACAGGGAAGAGGTAACTATGGGGAAGAAGTGGGAGGGGAGCTGTTGCATTGTGGTAAATTGTAGTCAGTGTCATGAGACAAAGTGTATGTGAACTGCCGTATGGAAAGTGAATTTGCTCTGTAAATTTTCACCGAAATTACAATTAAAAAAAAAAAAAGCTGTTAAAAAAAGGTGCTATGGACAAAAGAAAATAAATAAATAAATAAACTCTTGTTTGTTAAGGCCATCTCATTTGTGGTATATTTTTTCAGAGCAACACTAGGTAACCAGAACACCATGTTACTCCTTCCTCCTGGTGGTGGTGGTGTTATGTGTAGCAGTCTCCAAAAACCTCTAGAGTAGATGTGAAACAGTTTTAGCCATTAACAGGCAAAGTGCTTGTAGTACCCAAACATACCTTAGAGCGTCTCTCTTATCTTCTCTGCTGAAGGCTAGGTTTCTTCTCAAGGCCTCAGTGCTCCTTCCCCTCACTCCTTCTACCTACCTCATCCCCACAGCTCTCTCTTACTCACTCTTTAAGACTTACATAACAATTATATTGTTTATCATTTATCTGTTCATATGTCAATCTTCCCTCTATATAAACACTCTTCTGGGACCATCATCTCCCCATTCCTCCAGCTAATTTGTATTTTCATGTTTGCAGTCTCTGCACAGAAAAGTTTAGGTATTGAGTGAATGTTTGTTGAATAAATTAATGAGAATGATTAACATTATTGGAGCAGAGTCTACTAACCTTCATTAGTGTAGTAACAAAGTTTTTAAATTTTTTGACAGCTGATTTGATGTGTGGCTCAAAGGGTTTTTAATCACTAAAAGTAAATATTAAGATATGCTTAGGATGCATTTGCTAGTTTTATATAACACATGGTGGCTGGGTACCAGCTCTGAGTAGGAATTGTTTTAGGCACTGGAAATACAGTGATGAAAAAGGTAGGTGAAGCCTCTGTCCTTGTGTAGCTGCCCTTTTAGTGGAGATAATTGTTGTTGTTGTTATTATGTGCCGTGAAGTCAGCCCTGACTCATAGCGACCCCACCTTGGGTTTCCGAGGCAGTATCACTACGGAAGTAGGATTGCCCAACCTTCCTTCCGAGGAGTGGCTGGTGGGTTTGAACCGCCAGCCTTCTAGGTAGTAAAAAAAATAATGATAATAAACCAACAGCAGTACTTCAGTTTGTGACGAATGCTACAAATTTAATGAAATAGAATAATGGGATAAAGTACTCAGGAAAGGCCCCTCTGAGAAGATGATATTTGAACTGAGACCAGAACAATAAGCCAGCTGTGCTGAGAGATGGAAGAAGAGAGAACTACAGTTGCACGGGACTGGAGGCTAGAGATAATTTGGGGGCATAAGGAAGAGAATGAAAGCACCTAAGGGTCAAGGGGTAGAGTAGTTGGAGAGGGTAGGTGGGTTAGATCATGTAGGACTTGGTGGGCTGTGGTGAGAAGTTTGGATTTCTTTTTGTAAGGAAATTTGAATTATATTGCAAGGGCAATTGGGAACTTTTGCGGGGAGTGACCTGAAGTGGAGTGGCATGATCTGATTTAGTTTTTCGTAACTCTGGTTCTCTATGCATAATGGATTGTGGATACCCAAGAGAGCAGCAGGGTCATTGGTCAGGAGGCTTTTGCTGTAGCCCAAGGCAGCAGTGAAATTTACTCCTCCTCGTGGTGGTGGTGGTATGTGTAGCAGTCTCCAAAATGGCTGGTAGAGTCAGGATGCATTTTGGAGTTTGAACTGACAGGACTGACTGATGGATTGGACAAGAGAGGCAAAGAAACAAAAGAATCTAAGACTCCATGTCCTCTTATACGGG